CCATACGATGGAACCAATCATTGAAGCAAACATTCCATTCGGAAGTTGGGGTCTCCAAAATGGCCGTTTTGTAGGCGTCCACAGCTTCTTCAGGTGATGAAAATCTCTGTCCACGCAATTTATTCTTTATTTTAGGGAAAGTATAGAAATCATTAGGGCTTGGGTCGGGGCTGTACGGCGGATGGTCTAATAATTCTATGTTTTCTTGCTCTAAAAACTCCTGTTCTGTGCGCGGTGTGAGAACTCGCATTGTCGTGATGGAGGATGATGCGGCGGTTGCAGTTCTCTTTACGGAGTTCAGAAACGACCTGTGGCAAACAAATGCTAGCATACCATTCCCCGTTTTTTACCGTTCCACCATTAACCGTTCTTTGTCCCTCGAGAGGAATAGTCGTAACATGGCCGGTTTTGGAGACAAACGTGTCCACCATTTTTTTTGCAACACTCCGTGAACGAACAATTTTTGTTGGCTTTAACTCATTTTCATCACCAAATGCAGAAATCATCCGGTCAACACACTGTTTTTGTGTTTAACCACTTCGAAAGTCATAATAAATCATCGCTCTTAAATTTTCTCGAGTCAATTCCATTTTCTCAACGACTAAACAAGGTTGACAAAACCTCGTGACAAGACCGAGAATCTTTTTTTAAATAAATAAATGGTATTCGATTTTTAAAACCAAGGAGTTTTCAATTAAAAAGATTTTAATATGACAGGAACAGTGGAAATATTCCATTCCCGATACTTTTAGTGCAGCCCTCGTAGAGGTAAAATCTAAATTATTAATTACAAGTGCTGCACTTCCCTTCAAAGAAGCACGCAGGTAGTGTAACTTATTAATGTTATCAATGTTGTTGTTTATAATTATGATTAATTGAAATAAATGTGTCTCTAAATTCCAGCCAATCATCATAAGCACCATTGAATTTTGGAAGGTCTATTTTAGGCAATCTCATTGAGTTGTGTTTGTGTGTATGTGCACCACAAGAACCCACCTCGGAGACTGCTTCACCCTGTAGAAGCTTGCGCGCTGCACTGATCAGCTGACGTGAAGAAGCTACTAAACCGTAATATTGCTTCTCGAATTCCTCACGCTCCGCATATTGCTCGTTGGGATCATCGACTAAAGACTCCATATCATTCTGTAATGCATCATATTTCTCGTATAATGACTCGAATTTTTGAAGTCAATATTCGATTTCTATCACTTGAACCTCACTTAGTTTTTGGCACGATTTAGAAATGTTGATATATTATGATGAAAATTGCGTTAGTTTTGCTTTAATTGAAGCTCGTTTTTAATTAGATTTTTAATGTCTGCCATTTAAATTTGAAAGTGTATTATTTATTTTCTAACCCATTATTATTTTAGATTTCAGACCCGGCTTTGAATTTTTATTCGCCGTTTCGTGTGATTTTGATTGCATAGTGTTGTTGTAGTGCTTTTCCATAACCACCAGCTTATTATTATTTAAATAAAACTCATAATCGCATTACTTTATTTAGGGTAGACCGAGGCGAATCGGATTATTTTTTTTTTGAGATTATGTAAATCATACAAAAATGTAATTTCTGTAACTTTTATTGATAGAATTGAAATCAGCAACAATCCAGCTACGCAACAAACATTTTAAAACTTAAATTGTTCATAAATTCCTTAAATTATAAACTAAAAACTTGAAACACAGAAATATCCGAATCGTCCCAATTCTCGGGGCGAATGAAATCGTGCAAAATAAATATTTAAATAAAATTTTCTTAAGACTATTAAGCTTTGGAATCATATATTTTTTTATAATAAATAATACGAATAATTAGTAATTACTACTACATAAATCACATACATATGGGCCTTTTCCCCCTTCTATATCAGCACATTTTTCGTGGCAACATTCTTCGTATGCATGGCCCTGAAACCAATCTGCTGATGGTGGATGAATGATTTTTTCAGATTAGTAAATAAATGCCAATCCCTATGTTTTGCAGATAAACCTTTCATTTTTATTCCAAGCGTTCTGTTATTCTTCTCCTTTACATTGTCATCAGTGTTTTTTCTCTTTATCCCAAGCTTTTTTGTCAGTCTTATGTTTACTGTTAGCGTCTTAGTCGTGGAAATTACTCTTACTCTGGGGTGATGTCAAATGTAAAATTTATTTTGTACTTTTACGATATTTCTTAAAACATTTCTCGTCCACGTTGTACAATCGTTCTAGTCTTCCTCTTAAATTGGTCTCGTCTATTACTGTTTTCAGTATTAAAGAATTCGGTTACTTTTCCCTTTTCATGTCGTCTATTCTTCCTCTTGACAACCCTTCTGGTTTCCGAATAGTTAACTCCTTATTTATTTTCATAAAGCGATGAAACCAGTCCTGACCAGCCATTCCTACTTCTTTATTAAATTAGTGTTGAATGTTCTGAAGTTCTGCGAATTGAAACACATATTAACGAACCGCCTTGGGTGTAATTCCGAAGCCACGAGTCGCCATATGCAGTAAACGGTCTGCTAAACTCTTTTCAGTACCTTCAGCAGCGTCTCATCTCAGACTGGCTGTCTACCACGTGTTTTAGTGGTAGTGACACCCCCCGAAAAAGAAACTACCCTTTGTATACTTGTGTATGGTTATTCGTAAATCACAGCAGCCCGACGTAACGTTAACTCAAGCATACCAAAACGCGCGTTGGAGGTTGAGTCGAGTCGAGTTAAACTCGTGTGAACGACTAAAGATACGGGGATCAGTGCATTGTGGTACATTGCGAAAACAAATCGATTTTTTTGCTAACCACAGCAATTATCAGAATAAATTATGACATCCCGCGTGGTTTTTCAAATGCAATCTGCTACAGGTATTTATAGGTACACACACGACCCTATTTCGATGGGTCCTCTGTTGCCCAACCCTTCGTGCCAAAAATAACAGGTTGTTTCTTGCTTGTTTGGATTAGATATTGTTAAATTATAATAATTACGTCTTGATTTGTAGTAGAAAGAGCTTGATTTGCCAACAGGGCAGGGTGACACCGCTTGTAAGTCATAGATGAAAATAATTGTATTGTTATCAGGTTCATAACATCTTTTCATATCCCTGTCTTTTTCATGTCTACTTAAGCTTTTTTCTTCCAGATGTAAGTTGAAGCTGTCACGTAATTTATTATTTTCTTCTTCAGAGGCATTTTCGTGTGCTTCATACTTAACGCAACGATCTTTTTTGTGTTTGAAAAATCCAATGTTAAAATCTTGGTTGAATATCTGTGAGTAGGCGTCGTAGTTTACAATAGGCTTGTTTTGTTGCTTCTGAATTTCAGAATAATTCCTGTGCAATTCTGCGACAGTCAAACCCAGATTAATAAATTGTTTGCTAGTATTAACCCTGAGATAGTGACTTTCAACCTTTAGTCATTATTTACTGCTTGTATAACTTCAGGTTGCAATTTACATTGTTTTCCGTGCTTTCCTCGTTGATCAGGTGAAATAAAGCCATCATTTCGTGCTTTGCACTCAATAACAGTCCGTATAATCTGTAGTGCGATACCCAAAGTGTTAATCAGAAAAGTTTTACAGACGCGGATCTCATTATTCTCATTAAGCAATTACTTGCTTTTTTTTTTTTTTTTTTTTTTTTTTGTCAGGAGGAAATCGCCAGACTCCCACCCTCCACTGGAGATGGAGGGTGGGGCATGTCGGAGTCGAACCGACTAAAACCTCCTGTCGCTCAACAACCAACGTCCAACCCTCGCATGAGACAGAACTCATGAAAAGGCAAGGGGAGGAGAGTGAAGCGTTTAGTGCGGAGCACATCTCTCCCATCACCCTCCCCCTCGGGACGCCGGGCCAGCGATCGTCGGCGCCACGACCACCAGCCCTCTCGGTCGGCAGGCTGTCCGAAGCCCGCCTAGATGGCGCCGGTTTGAATAGGTTATNCACCCGAGTCGCTGGCGAGCGCAGAGCGCATCGAGCCGGCGATCGGGGAGCGCCTCGGTTCGACGGGAATTCCGCTGCCCGTCGCACAGCCCCCTTCATCCTGACAATTGTTGCCCCCCCCAGAGTACGTGGGGCAGCGTGCTTCCACTGAGGAAGCACGGAGGGATTCTCCGCCCGACTCGCGGGCGGTACCCTCCTGGGGTACAAACTTTTCACAATTTGCCATCATATATTGCCTTTTTATTAACCAGGGGTTTGGTCCCCTGGGATCTATGACACCCTCGGGACTGGAAACCCTCCAGCCATACATCCCATCGCCGGGTGTCGAGCTTGGGATTAGGGCATTTTTGAAGAGGTTTGCATCCTCGCGGCTTCGACCAGTAAAGGCAGAAGCCCCCGTTCCCCATGACTGGGGTTTACGGTTTGACCGACGGTGGCCAAAGCCTGTCCATCGCCCATAACGCGGTGCGGAGCCACGCCGGCGAACCGGTACCTCCCATATCTGGAAGGCTTTCCCCTGTAGCCAAAGCCGGGGACATGGCAACCCGCAGCCGGAAGACACAAAAGTGCCGCTGGCTCACCAGGCTCCCGAGAGCCAACCCCTCATCCCCAGAATGGAACTCTTTGTCAGTGCAAAGGGCGAGGGGAGAAGGTCCCTCGCTCTCTCTCATGGCATCCCCCGCAGAACGCGGAGGCGGCCGAAGAGAGCTGGGCGCAGTTCTCTTGGTCGCGGCGTCCCACACAGATTCCTCTGCACGCGATTTTAGGGACGCACGCTTAAGCCCCACCGCCACGACAAGGCGGAACTGCATTCGGTGGGGAATTACTTGCTTAGTGGAGTGTTTTTTTTCTGTTGTACATTTTGTTATGCGGCGCGGCGTTTAGCTGGATATTGCTTTTAATTTTCCACATCTTGTGCAATACCTAATTTCTGAAAAGTGTACAGGTTTCATGTAACCAGTTCTGACACATTACACATTGAATTCAGTCAGATTGCTACTTTGTGTTTTTTATAGTTTTAAAAATATTCAATGCAGATATTTTTCCTTTAATTTTATAGTTCGGTAGATTGAACTGTATATAATGCCTTTTTAGTGATGCTTGGTTTTGATGTAATTTTAAATAATTATCATCACACAAATTAGCTAAATTGTCATCATCCTTGGTACTAAAAGAATTTGTTTTATTTTTGATGTCTTGGTCTTTATTTATGGTATAATAGCCGGCAAACTTCTTGAGCTTCACTGCTTTCTTTGGTAGCTCGTTGATACAATAGACTCTCAATAGAGGCATTTCGCAAACCACTTTCTATTTCTAGTTTTGTATTTTGCCACAATTCAAACAGTGACATCTTTTTTTCATCCAACTCATTTTTACCTCTGTTGCGAAATAGAATGAGCATGCTTTGTGGAATACTTTGATTGAGAAACCGAAGCCCTTCTTTTAAAAATCCTTTACTTTCCTCAACATTCGTGAGTTGATCGTCTTTATTTTTTAATGGGACAGTGACAATTTCTGGGTTCCACGTAAAGAGCCCACATTTACATTTTCGAAGATTGTTGCATTCAGTGTCTTAAAAACCGCAACATTCATTGGCTGTAATAGAAGAGTTGCATTGGGGTAAAGGGTAATGAGGATAATCCCATTTTTTAAAGCTGACCCACTTGTAAACTCAGGTGAGACACATGCCCATCCACGAAAAGAATGACCGGCAAAGGAATATTTTCTTTCTCCAGCCACGGATGGAAAATGTCAGCAATAAATTCGAAAAACGACTCGCAAGTCATACAACCAGAATCTGTATTTCCCAGACCCATTCTGGAAGGAAATTCTGTGCTATTTCCTGTGAATTTTTTTTATACTTAAACAAAACTGTTGGAGGAGGTACAGCACCAGATGCGCTACCCGTTACAAGAACTGGTAGGCATTCTTTCTCATCTGGATTGACTTGCTTGATATACTTTCTCGTTCCCCTTTTCTAAAACCTTACCACCCTTCGGATTTAGAATAAAAGCAGTTTCATTTGTATTAAAGATCCTTCTAAGATCTTGTAAGATGTATTTCTGTTGAGTCTGATCCAAGAATCTCTCTACCTCTTTAAAATGCTCCTTGGATATTACAGCTCTTGATCTAGTAAGGTTTTGGGACATGCGAACAGATATCCCTTGGCACGTTAAACTTTTTTGCTTCAGTTTTATACGGAGTTTTATGTGAACGCACAGCTGCTTCCATTGCATCTTGTGTATAATTTCTAAAATTTCATTTTGTTTGTGGCATCTAAAAAGCGCAAGAAAGAATAATTCAAAGGTTAAAATGGATTAATTTAACTTATAAGCAGTAAAATAACAATAAATAATACAGTATTAATAAATTATGTTAAAATTAATTAGTAAGACCCACATGTCAACTACTCAAATCTATGTAATTTCAAGTTTCAGCAAATGACATGACGCCATGTACACAATATTTTTTTGTAGGTCATTTCAAATAATACGTATTTACGCTTCAAACTAATAAATTAATATTTATTTAAAATTGTAAAATAATATTTACCTTTCCAACATTAATATCTCGGTTTGCTCTAAACGAACTGCACAAGAATATAACAATAAATATGGCGCGAAGCGTGCGGTTGCCATCAGTCGAACGCGGTAAGCGATGTTGTATAAGACAATTTTATGACGCCACGTTAGTTTGTATTGGTGTCGCTAGATGTCTATACTATATCTCGGACACCATCTTTGTCTTCCTTTGTTTTTCTTATTATTTAATTTTTTTCGTCAAAATATCAACTATTGGTGTAGTGTCAATAACTGGTGGTTTTACCTTCCTTTTTTATTGCACTTTTGCGGAAAATAAATAATATTTGTTGTTTAGTTTTAGATTATAGGTACACCTTTAATCATTAAAACTAATGCATGGTCTGCAATATTTTTAGTTTAAACTCCTTCTCGACTCTTTAACCTTTAAACTCCTTCTCGACTCTTTAACCTTTAAACTTCTTCTCGACTCTTTAACCTTTAAACTTCTTCTCGACTGTGTAACCTTTACACTCCTTTTCAACTCTTTAACGTTAATCTCCCTCTCGACTTCTTTAACCTTAATCACCTTCAACTCCACACACAAACGACAACATAACATAACATCAGATAGCTTTATATTCAACACTCGAACTCAAATATAACTTTTCATTACCATAACAACCTTGCATTATCTTAAAATCTTTCACTTCTTAAATTTTCTCACTTTCTTTTACCTATTAACCATTCAATAAAACTAAAACCAAAATAATGAAGTAAAATTCCTAACATGTATTATAACAAAAACAACAATAAAACAAAACTATAAAAGAGACAAAAGAATTTTAGAAAACGACTGTAAGTTTGTTTGTATCAAAAATGAGTACTTCTTCCACCGCTTAGGATAACTATTATTTTTTATAGTTTTACTAATAAACAATTATATTTTATAATCACCCCCTTAATTGTTTATGTCGGTGGAAAGAGAGCACCCCCTTAATCCTTGTCTCTTTTTAGTTATATAAATTGTTGTATACAACATTGAAATTCCCCTATAAAACTAACAAAAAAAAAACAACCCATTTCCCCCGAAACACAATAAGTTCACTTTTGAAAAATTAATATGCTCCTATCTCACTATGACACTAGTTTCTTCTGACAGCTTTCAAACTTTATCCTAAAATATCCGCAATCTGTGACCCAGTTGGACAGTATTTAACTTTAATCTGGTTTTCATCAATCTTTTCTTTTAGGTAGTAATATTTGACATCAATGTGTTTGCTTCTTTTATTCATAATTCCTTTCTTCATAAGCCAAATTGCAGATTGGTTGTCAACTCGCATTTCAATATCCAAATTTTCATTCGTAATTTCTTTTACCAGATCTCTAATATATAGCAGTTCCTTACAGCATTCTGCAGCAGCAATATACTCAGCTTCAGTGCTCGAAAGTGCCACAACTGATTGTTTTCTTGAGCTCCATTCAATTGGTCCACCATTCATCCAGATTACAAAACCACAAGTACTTCGTCTCGTGTCAGGATCACCAGCGAAATCCGAATCACAAAAACCTCTCAATATATTGTCAACTTTACTGTAATGAATACCTTTTTCCTTTGAACTTTTAATAAACCTCAAAATATTTTTAACATTGTTTAAATCATTTAAATTTGGTCTGTTTTGATGCCTTGAACAAAAGCCTATGTGAAAACTAATGTCAGGTCTTGTTTTGTTTGAGAGATAAAGCAGAGAACCCACCATTTCGCTATAGTCTTCATGCATTTTCTTATCTACTTTGACTGATGGATGTTGCTCCACCAAAATACTCGGGTAGTTGCAATCTCTCACATTGTTCATATTAATTTTTTGTAATAATTTCTCTGAATATTTTTGTTGATGTAATTTAATACCACTCTTTTCTGTCTCGATGTATAAACCAATATAATTAGATACTTTCTCAGAAACCCTTAAATCAAATTCTTTTTTCAATTTATTCATAATTTCCTCTAAATCTTTCAAATTTTCGCCGATTATTATTCCGTCATCTACATAAATTCCTAGATAGATTCTTTTATTTTCTGTCATGTCTAAAATGAATATACATTTATTTAATTTCAATTGTCTAAAACCAATTTCTGATAGAAACTCTGTAAAACGTATATTCCACATTAGGGGAGCCTGTTTTAAACCATATAGGCTTTTATTTAATTTGCATACTTTGCCCTCACAGTTATTGTAGCCTTTTGGAACCCTCATATATTACTTCACTCCGGTGAGGAAAAATTTTCAAGGATGTTTGAGTGGAGTTTATTTTTACGACTAACCAACTACGACTACGGTATTTTACGACTACCAAAACGCGCTTTGTGGTTGAGTCGAGCCGAGTTAAGCTCGGGTGAACGACTAAAGATACGATTCTGATATTTTCATAGCCGTTTGGTTTATTTTTTCTTTGCGTTTTACATTTTAGGGTTAAATTTAATGCCCTTTGTCAGAGCCTTTCAATTACTGGAACCTACTTATTAATGTTCTCTCGATGTATAAAAAAAATCAGTCAAGAGCGAGTCGGCCTTGCGCGTTGAGGACTCCATATATTTCTATATAAGTTTTCAATAAGCTTCTAGACATGTATATAAGCCTTGAGAGTGCATTGTTTTCAGCCTATGAGCACAAGTATTAAATATCTTAATCTTATAATTAATAATCAATGGTTTAAACATTTCAAAAAATTCGTTCCCTTTCAGCTTTACATTGGTGGACATTTAAATAAACAAAACTAATTTCAATTTTATTCCGTCAAACGGTGTTTGTAACATTTGATATGTATTCAGTTATAAATCATATTATTATGCAATTTAAATTCGTATAATATAGTTGCCGGCACAACAGTATTGGCTGGTACCAATAGTGTACCAAATTAAACATTGGTACCTAATGTCAACTGACTCACCTTTCGTAATATACAAAGGTGGAATAGCACTTATTGTTAGCCTGTTGCTTGATGAAATATAATAATTTTGAAAATGCTTATTGCGTAACCTCAACTGTTTGTGTATGTATGTACATATTTCCTTTATCTATTTTGTCGTTCTCTAATACTGCTTTCTAGATTTTAAACCTTTCTGTACCGTTCTCAGGCTTAGCCCTTAGTAGACTGATTTACTAAAGTGATTTTTTTTAAAATTACTGTGTTTGCTTGAGGGTCTAGACTATATGAAGGAAAAACAGCTAAAAAATCACAATATTTATTTTACATATTTATTTAGAAGAAAAAAAACAAGTATCAATTGTGATACTTCAGGCATTAAGGCCATAAATAAATCAGATATACCTATGCATGAAATAATGCGAAACATTGGTTGTTTTTATTATCGCATAACCACACTTTACACTTTTTACAGAACCAAGATGTAAGTTTCCTACAATTATTAAATTTACACTTATTTCTAGAATCCATAAATATTTTTTCATGACCAATACAATCGCAACGCACGTCAGTAGAGGGTAGTACTTGTACACCTGTCCGGGGTATTTTAGAAGGTACTGTAGTATCTTTTCGACTGTTGGTACTGGGTCTTCCCCTTTTATTTTTCGAGTGACTTTGATATCTACATAAAGTATCGGCAAGCTCAGTTCTAAAATCTACTAACTTTATAATATTCTTCTGAAGTTTTCTTTTTACTGTGTTTACTTTTTAGTATAGTACCCAAGCATTGATGACAGTCATGTCTGACAAGTGGTAGAAGAGCCTCGTTGTCCACTTTCTCGACTTATGCGGATGCGATATCGACCAGTGAAGCTATTCATCAAATCAACGCCGCCCATGTGTACATTATATTCTTTTATGACCCGAGGACATGATACTTGAACATTGGCCTTTAGTTTTTTTTCGTAGCGGGTTATAGTATCCGCTGGTTCAGCACCAACATACGTGGAAAGTAATAGTACTTGTTTGTTGTCTTCCCAACTTGTGGCCGACAATTCTTGGCCTTCGTAAGAGGCCACATTTTCGTGATATGTTCCTCTGGGTACGTTAGACTTCATAATTTCCCGTTTCTCCGGCAACTTGCACGACTTTCCAAGCCTGTTTCTCTGTACCGTTCCAAGACAATAAATACCTTCGTTGGTCAAGTTATGTAGCAGAGGAATATTCGTATAAAAATTGTCAAAATAAGTTATATGATTGACGTGCCTTGGTACTGGTCGTAACAGTCGAATTACTGTATTCAATACAGCTCCGAGGTCTGGTTTACCAGGTAAACGGTCTCTGTCCTTAGCTCCTGAGTAAATCTCAAAACTGTAGGCATACCCAGACAGAGAGCATAAAACGTATAATTTGAATACCCACTTATGGGGCTTGTTGGGTTAAGTATTGTTTCATAAAATGTATAATTTTAGTGGAACACATTTGCTCGTCTAATGATAGACGTTGCTCAAATGGTACAATAATAAATTTCTTGTTCAAATAGTCTATCACTGGTCTTACTTTATGCAGTCGGTCGTGCTGGGGATGATCAATGGGCAAATGTTAGAGTCTGCATTCATGTGAAAAAATTGTCTAATTTTATCATATCTGTTGCGATTCATTGTTTGTGCTATGGGTTCAAACTTTGTAATGTTTGACCAGTATGACCTGACACTAGGATAATAATAGGGGAAGTCCGGGTAAAGTTGACACCTTAACCTTTGATGGGCTATAGAAAGAAAACCAATAGGCATATAAATAAAACAAATGTTCAATGAGAATCAACATTTATTAAAGTTTTTAATATCAACAAAAATTGCTTAATAGCAGTCCTTTAATTTTAATTGTCAATAATGTTGCAACATAGGCCAGTATCCACTTTGCCCCATAGGTCGGGTAAAGTCATCAACTGTTTATTTATTTCTATACAATTCTCCTCGAAATAATAGAATACACAAAGTTCTTCCTCGTTTTCCCTACCACCATCCTTACTTTTATCTTTAACAATTATATTTATCGTCATTTTAGTATTTTTCTTTGTCGCAGTCTTTGTTTTAGCATTTAAATCTATAATCATATTTTTCGTTCCTTTTAAATTTTTCTTTTTGTTCTCACTTCACTAGCGTACTTGTACGTAAAACACCTTAGACTTTTTATTGTTTCTTTTACGTGTACCCCCAGGAACGTGTGGCATCGGAACGAATAATCCAGAAACATGGCAGGAACTCTCGACTGTCGTAGTTTGTCCACGCTCAGTGCTGGAAATGACTACTACTTGCTTTTTACCATTAACTGAAAGAACTACGGGTGGTTTATTTGTCGAGGTCCGAGTGCCAGATTCATCTATATTATAGATTTTGGTAATTTGTTCACTTAACGGTTTATAGAACCTTTCTACTTGAGGACGATTGAAGCCTTTAACTCTGCCAATTGTTGTTGCTTCTGGAATTCTTAGTGTAATTTGTGGATTTCTTCTCATAAATTCTGCTAACCGATCATCACCAGCTTATTTATTTTTGTCCTAACTAGGCGGACAAGTGACATTATTGCGTTTTGCGTATTCAAAAAATAATATTTTTTTAATTCTTCTTGTGTTAACCCATAAAAAACACTATCCATATCATACAAATACGTTCGAAGGTCTTCCTATTGTTTATCGTTTGAAACTTTACGAAGACGACCAAGCTGAGCAGTCGAACTACCTTTTTTCTAATGCCTATAAAGAGCGGCTTAAGATAGAACATACTTTTTTGCGGTCGTTTTCACAGGAATGACAGAATCTGCTATCGCAAGCATCATACTGTTCTCACCCCAATGGGCTTGGTTGATATTTCTTCTTGTATTTAATCTATATACCATCTAAAATAAAAAAATGTGTGCGTGTACTAGTGTACACACGTAAGAAGTGAAACTTGTTTATGGCCTTATTTTTCGAAAAATGATCTACATGCAACTTTCTAGAAATTGGTTAAATAAAGTTAAATTAGATAAAGTTTAAACAAAAGGATTTTATTATCATAGACATGAATACAAAAAAGTTAAATTAGATAAAGTTTAAACAAAAGGATTTTATTATCATAGACATGAATACAAAAAAGTTAAATTAGATAAAGTTTAAACAAAAGGATTTTATTATCATAGACATGAATACAAAACAGATGGCGCGTAACGGAAAAATGTGACGCGTAACCGAAAAATGTGACGGTAAATTTTTTTCCAACGCCGATAAGGAAGTTTCACTTCAAAAAAATGAACGCCCAATAAAGTCATCGAGGGCAAAGCGAATACCGTATCCACTTTGCCCGTGATCACTTTTACTTTACACCTATTTATTTCATTCAACTTCCAAAACCAAAAGAGATGACGACAAAACTCTAACAAAACTCTCAGAATTCATACTTGAAAATATGCACTTAAAGGCATCATCGTACTAAACTTTTATATGAGTTATTAAAGTATTACGTACCTTGAAAAGTAATAAGAAAACTTCACTATTTAGTTTCGATTTTTCTCTCGATCGCGACGCAACCCTCCGCTAGCTCTGTTTGCCCACGAATGCGGACGAGCGAGGCAATGTAATGTCGCGAGGCGGGCGTGTTTCGATACGTTCTTAACGAAAAATAAAGCGTATTCACTTTGCCTATCCACTATGCCCGGACTTCCCCTATACACTAGTAAAAATAAGAATTCCAATAAATTTACGTAATTCTAAGACAGTTACAGGTTCTGTAAAGTTGGGGTTCTTTTGGTAGGCATATTTTTTTGACTCGTCCACTAGTAATTTCAAAATTTCTTCACCGAAAAAATAAGAAAAAAACTGAAAAGGAGTGTCTAAGTTCATAATTTCTTGTGAATACTCAGTGTTTCCAGCTCGAATAATAGTCTATGTCATCTTCACTGTCGGTAGAATTGTCTTCCGAAATTTCACCATTTTCTAACCGCTTTGATATGCTCTCAATCTCTTCTGGTCGCATTTTTGATAAATTTCTATAATAAAATAAAAATAAAAGTAATCCCAACGCCAAGCTATGCAGAAAAATAATGGAACGGAAGTTCAAAAAGTTTTTTATAGCTAAAGAATTTGTAGGTAGGTTTTATGTAGGGCGGAATGCCTGAAGTATCAAAATTGATGATACTCACAAAAATAGCACTAGTTTCTTCAAGTAAAACATGCACTCGCAAAAAATAATTATATCTTAGCGAAAATAATATATTTACACTTACTTACACTTACCTCAAAAGTATTTCTTTAGAAAAAGAAAATATATTAAATTTGTATTCAACAAAAATTTTAGTAAAATGTGTTTACTTGTTCACTTTGCCGCGCAAGTAATATGTCATAGATAAAATAAAACAATAATGACATTAGATTTTTTTTTTAATTTCGTTGGAAAGGATATTATACAACAGTAAAATACGTACAGCCAACCTATAAAAAAAAACTAATAGTAATGTGAACATTCGGTTTAAAAGATTGGTATCAAAATTTAAACTCTAGTTTATTAAGGGCTAAAGGATTTCTTATTTTGATCCGATTCGCCTCGGGCTAGCCTAATAGCGAATAGTGAAGATGTATATATAGTAAATCGTTATATGCAATCAGACGCGCATAGAAAAAATGAGATGCCTTGTAAATGGGAAGTGATACTACACAAAAACTATTCAATTCGTTTTGTAACGAATTTTCATGAGGTATTTAATTATTTTTAAATTTTTTATTATAAAATTATACTTTTGCTTCGCTTGCTGTACGGCAACAAAATCAATATGTCGGACACTTATTTTATTTCATTAGCACAATTTAAAGTAAAAAAAAAGTTATTTAAGTTTTTTTTTTTTTTTTTTCGTTTTTTTTGTGTATTGGTTTGCGTGTTCAATGGTAAAATTAATTTATTTTACTAAAACGATTCGCTTCATGTTTTTTTAAATATGAGTTAATTTGAATACTATTAAAAATAACTTGCAAAATGCTTTTAATGTGAATAAATAGCAGATTGAAAAAATGCGTATTCGATATACCATAGTAGATTGCTTTGGTTGTTAAAAACTTACAATGCTCAACAACTAACTAAATTTCGTTTTGTTAGTTATTAATGGTAAATAAAATAAATAAATAAATAAAATTATTATGTTTTTTTTTTTTTTTTTTTTTTTTATGATTGAAAGTTTACTGGTGGCCCGAAGGCCTTTCCAGTTTCACCAGGACAGGTGGGCGAGCAAAGGCTCAGCCAAGAGGGGTGGGATTTGCTAACAATTGCCCGAGCGCCTCCGAAGGAGACCTAACAACTCAAGAGCAATTGTTTCGCGAATGAATCTACTACCGGATCGGANTCCGGGCGGCAATGCCTTGTAATTAGGCGCAGGTACAAATTCCGAGAAACACTTGGGCCACAGATGTGCCACGAACAATGATCTATTATCACCGGTAGTCACTTCCGACAAAACACTTGGACGCCAGATGTGCCACGAACCGAGGTCGGGCAATCGAACGAACAATGAGCACGTCCACGCGCGTCGGTTGCTCAAATCGGAGTGAAATTATTATGTATGTATTTATGTTATGTATGTATTTATTTTGTCGATAGTTCGGATTTCGTAAAATGCATTTTTATAAATAACTAGAGGTCCCGCAGTAGTCGAAATTCGACAATAATTAATTGGAATTGTAAGTTTGTACACTACTATGATTGTATTTTATACTTCTATAATCACAAATTTCGCCAAGACTACACTATAAAAATATTAACAAAGACAAACAATATTTAATCTACATATTCTCAATTTGACAACAGACGTCAAGAACAAAAGTTTGACAATAAATAGTATGCATGCGTGTGTGCGTCAAATACATGGTATGTAGTGTGTGTGATGTTTTCTTTATTGATTTAATGTATCTTTTATGCATTATTAAAAAAAAAATTAGCATTGTGCACTTCTTCTCTATATTCTCTATAAGTGTGGAAAATTTCATACTCCTCCGTAAGCGCAATTTTCGTAAAAAGGGATACAAAGTTTTTGCTTCACGTATTAATATATAGATATCACTGAAGCAACTTACAAAATTAAATCTTGTAAAAGTAAGAAAATAACCTTTGGAAATGTTTTCATTTTTACGAAACTGTATTTTAAACTGTCCTAGCAATAACTACTGAAGACGTTTAAGAGTTTTGTCAGATCTACATCACGAATTAATAATAAAAATGTTGCAATATTAAAAAATGTTTTTTTTATTTTTATTATACGTGCCAGTAAATTAACTCTTATGTCCCATAAGCATAATCTAAACTAGTTATATTTTCGACTGATCTTTATATTGTCCAATGGGGATTGAAAAAAAAAAAAAACACATAATGGTAAACTTAATTTTGTTAAAATCAACTTAAAATTTATTTAAATAAGAATTTGGCGTTACAATAAATAACACATCTAAATGCACCTAAAAACTTAAACAAAACACTTTATGACTATGTACAAGATAAAAAATATTAGACGTAGGTACATTAAAAATTGCACATTTTTTTAATTTTATTTTGAGTTTAACTTCAAATATTTTAACTATTGTTGAACAAGGTTTCGACCAAAATGATTTTCAGAGAAAGCCACTGGTTAATTGGTTTCTGTAGAACAGCGTGCTTAGTGCGAGTTTTTTAACGTTCTCGATAGCGTAAAAGTTAACTCAAATTTGTATGCAGTTGGAACGTTTGCCGCTAAGGGCGTTGTTCCAACTGCACACAAATTTGAGTTAACTTTTACGCTATCGAGAACGTTACAAAACTTGTATCAAGCATACAGGTCTCGGTACATACACACTTATGTAAGTATGTATGTGTAGTGCGACAAATCCGACAATGGCTTATGTACAACATAATGTTTCGATTATTTCAATAGATGATACAATAGTACAGGTAACCCTTATTTTATGAAAAAAACACACCACATCCGCATAAGATCTCTCCTTGAGCTTAGGATCGACTGAATCGCGAGCAACTACTCCCCCTACAACACGGTAGATACGTTCCTACAAAGTTCCGTGTTGTGCGAAACCATGTTATATGAGACTAAGTTAGCCAGTTAACTAAGAATGATAATTTTCTGAACATAAAAAATCTTTTTTTTTTCCTTATCCCACTAGGTGGGGTAGGCACAGCTAATTTTTCTCTTCTATTCTCTCCTCTCTCTCTCATATCGTCATTCACACACTCCATCCATGTCTTCTTCGGTCGACCTCTTCCCCCTCTACCTTGCACTACCATTTCCATACATCTCATAGTCCCATGCATCTTCTCTCTACTCATCACGTGTCCATACCACGCTAACCAAAAAATAAGCAGCAAAATTTCGGCTATTCCCATATACTGTGTGGTGGTGGTGCATAATGTAATTTGCTAAATAATTTTAAACAAAAATCTAGTTATAGTGTTGCAGAAATAGCGTGTTTTGAAACAAAAAGGGCTTTGGGAGTAATTTTATTTTTGTGTAGAGCGGAACCGTCTGTAAAATACCGTGATAAAGGAGAGTTACCTGTATTTCGAATCACTTCCCAAACTAAAACAAGACTAAACCTATTCATCATATTCTTCGAAGAGCGGTATGTACTGATCATTACGCGCTTTCAATTTCAAACCGAATTCCGTCACTTGGTTTCCTTCGAAACCTTGAGTTTTGTCCACAGATTTAAGAGTCGGCGATTTCCAGTTCTCCGAAATCTCTTTACGTGTTGCGGCATCTTTTACGTGTTTTAAACTTTGTAATTTTGTTGTGATTGATTCTTTCTGCAAAGATGAAAATCGTGTATATAATAATGCAAATATAAAATTGAAAGTGCTTCTTTGTTGATATCTTTTATGCGTCCGATGTAGCATTTTAAGTAAAATTCACCACTTTGAAAAGATCAAGAGGTTTGTGGCCGAGTTTTTTTTCTCTCAGAGATAAATATTATAGTGAATAATTAAGAAATTAATTTTTAAATTGCATAGCATTGAGGGTGCGTTTCAATCTCCAGTTTTGACACCAAACTTTAAACTTGAAGCCGTAGTTATTACCTGCGTGGGATTGTTGGCATAACTTGCATATATCCTCAAAATGGGTTCCCCTGTGTTATCGTCAAAAACGATTTTGCTCTTTGGTGGTATTCGCGCTTTGACTACAGCTGCTTTTTGTCCACTGCTCGACGTTGATGCTTGTTGACTAGTCGATTTAGACGGAGTTTCTTTTTGGTCAGGTACAGCGACAAGTCTTATGGGAGCCCTCCTCGACATTAAAGTTGCTTTCTCGTTATTAAAGTCTTGGTCTTCACTTACACTGGCCTCGACGATCTGACCCGCATACACTGTTCCTTCTTGTGTCATTTTTGGCTCTTTAGTGTCGCTTCTTAATAGAGTATAAGCCACGTTTACAGAATCACTTGTTTTGCTAAATGGCATTCCCAGTAGTGATTTTAATTCGGAGACTGTTTTATTATCCTTTCCCTCTTCTTTCGTTTTCACGAAGTACGGTTCCAAATTTGGATTTACGGTTGTGGTTGTAATGTTTTCAGCAGTATCGGCTATTCTATTAGATTCCGGTAATTTTTCAATTTGAGCCAACGCTGCTGCAGCTCTGACGTCATTTATGGCCGAATAAAATCCTTTTGCTATAACGTCGCCGATGCTCTGTCCTATTTGGGCGTAGAATATCGGAGTCGTGTTCAGTCGATCTCTATTAGGCTCAGCAATGTATTTGATTGTTGTTGTTATTGGTTGAGATGCCGCTGCCATCAAATCCCCGGTTGTATTTGATGCTGACATCAAATTGGTTTTGTCTGTTGCGTTAAAGACCACAATCGCTTGAGGAATTAATGTAACGGCAGAGCTTTCTTGAGTATTCCTCTGTACCAAATTCTTTTGGTACATTGGTACAAAAGACGACGGCTCTTGTTTTATCTCGTCGTTTTCCAATAGAATTAGTTGCGGTTTTATTTCGATTTGCGGATTTGCTGGTGGAAGTTCAGCGGAATAAGGTATGAATTCAACTGACGGAAAACTTTGTATTATCTGACTTTGTAATTTCTGTAAGAACATCGGATCGGGCTGGTATAAGGCATTTGGAGGTATTACTATACCTTCCGCTCCTGAATTTATTAAGTCTTGTTGCGTCGGGATTCCGTTGAATGGCTGTAAAATAAAATATATATTATTATATTGGTGGTCATTTGTGAGATGTTACACATTTTTTAAATTCGCCGGTTCAAATCGCTAAATGAACGTTAACTTTTTTTAGAGTTTCGATTTCGTGAATTATGTAGATAACATGAGGCACTTATTGCCATCTTTTTTGTTTTAATTACTAGCTGATCCGGCAGACTTCGTAGTGCCTCGATCGATAAATAAGACCTAAGCTTTTGTATAAAATAAACTTAAAACAAACAAAAGGAATCCGTCTGACGGGGGACACATCAATCAAAGGAAAAACAAAATTGTTATTTTTATTTAATTCCGAGCATTTTCATATTTATCTACCTTTTAAACTTTCTCTGGACTTCCACAAATAATTCAAGACCAAAATTAGCCAAATCGGCCCAGCCGTTCTCGAGCTTTAGCGAGACTAACGAACAGCAATTCATTTTTATTTAAATAGATTTTGTTACCTGTACTGGTATATGTTGATGGATGACTTGTCCGTTTTGTGGTGCACTGATTGGCGAAATGCCGTACTGTGAAGCAACCTGCAGGGCTACTGCCTCTCTGATTAAAGTTTGTACCTCTGGTGCGTTCGAAGACTGAAAAACCTCATAATTCCATTTTTGTGTTTGTCGACATTAAAACCGTTTCCTTAAAAACTCTATCCACTATTCTTCCGCAGAATATTAATTATTAAATTATTACAATATTTTAGTTCACTGTTTGATTTTTTATTTATTTTTATGAGTAACAGTCATACAAAGAAATTTTAATGATAATTAGATGGTTATTTAAGCAAAAGTAGGTAGTGGTAGCTTTGAGACCTCGTCATCATGGTGCTAACTGAATTTTTACATTAACCCCTGCTATTAAACAATTTAAAAAAGGTTTCCATAGATAATTCACATAAATTAGTTAAAGGTTTCTTTTGAAGGATTTGTTCTTTCTTGTCTAGACTTTGGATAATTAAATACTAATTATTTAATCATTTAATGCGAAAAAATAATTTAATTGCCCTTACCTATTCGGTTTTACCATTTCATGGTTTTTTCATTGTCATTCTGTGGGTACCAAAAATAGGTTCAGGGTTCACCCCGATCGGTCAGAGTTGGAATGACGATTTGCGAATGACGTTTGGCAACGAGTGCACAAAAAGAGCTAAATACTTGGCGTGTATCCAAAGAATATTGGACAAATACTTCGTGGATTCATGACTATCATAATTTAAGTTGCCTAACATCTAAACTTACCGTTTTCGTCTTTGAAAATCCTATGGGAGTTTCTATTTTAGCCATGTGGTATTCTGGCTCTGGATATTGTTCCGTTACTTCGTAAATCGGCTTAGGCTGAAAATTTTGTTGCCAAGTTTACATTCTATATACCTTCTGAAATTTTACTAATCTTTTTTTTGCCTTTGAAGGCATACGAACTTCTTGTTCGTGCCAGACGAATAGCTGAGGTGTTGCTAACTGGTATAACGAAGTACATGTCATAGCCTCTAGGGCAGTATTTGACTTTTGTGAAAAAAGTGCGTAAAGGTACGCGGTAAATGTACTCTACTCTTACGGCGAATAGTTCCATGGTAAAATTGAGATCACGACGTCATCTTAAACAACTAGCCATCTTGTGAATAATGCCTTCAGTCAAACATTTGTCTACATTAGCAACTTCGAAGAAAATTTCGATCGCAGATTTCTCATTCCAACCCATTCCAAGAAAATATTCAATTATAGCATAGACAAAAATGGAGTGGCGTTGCTCTGAACTATTATTACGAATTCATGGTCCTTAAACAGTTAAAAGGCTTTTACCGTAGTGCCTGTATTTTTTGGTGATCTTCGAAAAATGAAGTCATAATCTTATATATTGTAGATAATGATGAATGGCTATACCGGCTATTAAACGAGGCTTGTGGAGAGCATTAATCGGTAGGCAGCGGCTTGGCTCTGCCCCTGGCATTGCTGAAGTCCATAGGCAACGGTAACCACTCACCATCAGGTGGGCCGTATGCTCGTCTCCCTACAAGGGCAATAATAAAATAAAAAAATACTCTAGGAGCATTCAAACTGTATTGAAGAATCGTCTGCTAGATTGTATCATTGGAATTAAATTATAAGTGCAGATATAAATCAGACACTAATAAAGAATTAGTCAAAATCGACATTATGCAATGTTTTTTAGTGTTTATCTTGACTTTGAGGCATGATTAATTCTAGCAATTATTAGACTAATTTCAGATATTTCAAATTATTTATCTTACTATTTCAAAATATAATTAAGATCACATGGGTTTTGTTATTTCGCAGTTATTTTATCGTTACCGAAGATTGGAACTGGTTTAACGACTTTCCATTTTGCCTTGGCATTAAAATATTTTGATGGTCTCTTAACTTGGCTCTACTAAAACTTACCGGCTGTGAGACAGTGTTACCGTTTGAGACGGTTTCTGAAGCGTCAACAACGATTATTGGCTTCTCCGAAAGACTAAGGTTTGGCGCTGGTATAGTGTGTATTGCACCTGTTGAAGAGACCGCTCTGAGACACGCGGATATTCACGACACACGTTTCACAAGATATAAAAGCGTAATCTTGTGGTACCTCGAGTTACCGTGAACTATGAGGACCACAATCGGTCACAGCTTATAAGCATATTATATTTCGTATGGTACTCGTTATCTTGTGAAAGTTATGCCGTGAACCATTCGCGAATTTAAGTGCATTTTGTGCACGAAAATGAGCAATCGCAATTGTAGTTCTGTACAATTTCTTGTCTGAGATAAGGCGCTAGAGAATTTGTTTCTGTCCGTATCTGATTCAGAGATGGACTATGAATAAACAATACAGGTAAGATTATTTCTGTAGCTGCATTGACCTAAGCTCGTATCTAAAAATTGAAGTATATCTTGTTGTGTCAAAAAAATCTCATGGTAAAACCATTAGATAATGGCTGAAAAAATTATGGCTATGGTTAATGCTCACCATTTTACATCGGGTACTAAGTTGAAAGTTTAGATGGACTAAGACTAGGATTTTCTCTATGAGCTTACAATTCGATCTACCCTCATTAAAAAGAAGATACCCAACCCAATACGAAGATATAATCAAACTCGACGTTCGTATTAAACTCTTCGATGGGGTAATGATCATCATCATCAGCCTGCGGCAGTCCACTGCTGGACATAGGCCTCCCCCAAAGCTCGCCACTGAACCCGATCTTCGGATGCGTGGAACCGAAGATCGGGGTAATGATACGAAACCCTAAAAAACATTGTTCGTTTTCTTAGAACACTAACATCAATAAACGAAAGTTGAAGAAGACAGTAAAATATTTCAGCCCAAAGCTTCAAGTGCAGTGCGCTCTAGTTAGTCAATTTGTACCACCATTGTTGCTGACGGGTGGCGCTGAAGCTGCCCTCAAGAAGTCGAACTCAGTGGTGGATGACGCCGCCGGCAGCCGAGCCGTTGTCTTCCACGAACCGTGGTGCACGTTGCGGTGTGATGGCGTGTAGTGCTTCACTGCGAATCTGCAATAAAAGCTAATGGATTAAAATGATATGTCTGGCTGTTAAAAGCAAATGCGAGTGACGAGAGATCTAAATAGAAGATTTTTAAAATTCATGTCACTCTCTTTCCTTTTATAGACGAAAGGGATAGCTGTAACAATAACTGCAAGTAGTTCTGCGAAAAAATAGAATCGGCATTTCGTATTCCCGTGTTTTTTTTTGTTAAGCAACCCATTTAAATAATTTATAAAAAAAATTTAATAAAAATAGGCTGAGACAAAAAAGCTAAGTGTAATTTACTCCTCTGCTTGGTAACTGATTATTTTAAGTTTTTATCAAACAGATTTATTGAATATCAAAAATAAATGAATTAGTAAATAAGTTTTTTTTTTTTAGATCGAGAAACAGAATATTGATTCCTACTACCCATAGGGGCTTATAAATAATAATATGTCATATATCCAGTAAATGCATAAGGTATAATACTCAGAGAATGTTGCTGCCATTTCTCAGTGGAATTCATTAGTCGCTTGTGCGGTACCTTAACTGGTAGTAGCGAGTCTCATGAGCCCGCATGGTTAGGTACCACCGCCCTGCCCTGCCCTCTTCCCTGCCCTGCTGGGGAGGAGACTTAGAACTTATGACTCAAGATGGGTGGCAGCATTTACGATCTATATGTCCATGGTCTCTGGAAACCGCTTAACGTCATACTAATAAAATAAAAAATAAATAAACCCACGGGAACAGATGGAGTGAGGCTCTTTAGGCAACTACATTAAAAAAGCCTACTAAAGTTATTTTGTCAGATTTTCCGGAAGACGGTGGCTTTTTTTAGAACAAGCCGTAGAGATGTGGTGGTGATTTCACGCTCTTTCCGTGAACCAGAATGCTTTTTCTTTATGCATTCCCTATTTTTTGTTTGACTTTTGTACTATGTTGTTTCTCCGTAAACGTCACTGGTAAAGAGTTATTAGGTACTTGTAAATAAATATACGAGTATCTTCGGAGATTAAATATATCCGTTAGACTCACATCACTTGACACGTACTTTAAATTATCTTGTCTTATCAGTCACATAGCGGACGCAAAATCAATTAATATCGATCGTGTTACCTTTAACCTGTGACGTGAGCCTTCTCAACACGTGAGGTTTTTCTACTAGCGAATTAAACACGATAATGAACAAACCTGTGAGGCGAATTCCTGTATACGACGTAAGGCACTCTCTGCGATGCGGCCGGTGCTACAAGCTGCTGGTTCCAGTACCTCTGCAAGTTGACACCTGGCCTGAAGGCGATGGGTACTCTTTGTCGGTTCACAGTCGTCATTCGACTGATGTAGGCTGCTTGAGTGAGCGATAACGCCACAACGAGGATGTGTATCTGTGTAGTGAATTCATATAGATTTTGTAGTAATCGTGGCCTAAAGGATAAGGCGCCCCCTGTTCAGATATAAACATCATGCGATTATGTTTGTGTTCGAATCCAAAACGCAGGTGCTCATTCTTGAAAGAAATGTGTACTTAATACATTTTCAGTAATTAATTCCACGCTACAGGAATAGTATAGTGCAATCGAGGTCATCGTGGCCTGAAGGATAAGACGCCCGGTGTGTTCGTATCTAGCGATGCGACTGTTCCGATATTCGAATCCCGCAGGCGGGTACCAATTTCTCTACGAAATACGTACTTAAAAATATTCACTAATGACTTCCACTGAAAGAATAGCACGTAATAAAAATAAAAAGCCGAAAAAAATATATGTGCGTAGTTACTGGCGGTATGCGGTAGGGCGTTTTGTGTGCCCGCGCGGTTAGGTACCACCACCGTGCCTATTTCTGATGTTAAGGACTCAGAAGGATCAATGTACTCCGATTTGCAAGATGGAACAGCTTCTACGCAATTTAAAAACAAATTGATGGCACTTTCAAATAAATCGCTAAAGTTTGAAACACGCAATCCTATCTTTTACACGCATCGGTATTGAACTTCACCCACATACGTATTATGAGTTGGGTTTTAAATTGCCATGTAACAAGACTACATTCTTTATATGGTTAGTGAGACAAGCCGCCCGGACCGGTCGACGATCGAGAAAATGATTCTTGGTAAACAGTTACTGCCAGAATGGCTTGGATAGTTTCCTTTTCTTTTTTTTTTCTGCAATACCAGTAGCTTTCGCCGACTGTTTTTGACGTTCTAAGAAATATTGTTTGAAACTTTTTTAAGTTACAGTTTTGAACTACCCGTGTATTTTAGATCAGTCGGTCGTAACCACGAAAACTGTAAAGTATACTAACAACGCAATAACTTATGACCCAAAAAGACTGTACATGCCCAGTCGGAACCTTAAAAATTACATACTTACTGGGTGTTAGGGGACCGCTTCCGAAAACGAAGACAGACGATAGTACTAATGACACCTTTGATAATGGGATGGAAAAAAAACGATCCTGATTTTTAAGAGAAACTTATTTTTAAAACGTTTTATTAGCATTCTTTACGCTCCATCGTTTTAGCACAGCTAAATGATACGATAGTTTAAAAAAAATATGTACATTACTTTACAAAAAAAAAGCAACGAAATACAAAATCAAAAACAGCTGATGCTCGAATCAACGAACGCCCGGGCGCGGCGTTTCCTTTACACGCACACCGGCGCCGCGCTGATACCGCGCTCCCCAAAGCTTACAACTTTGTAGGTACGAAATTTTCATTTTTGGACGCAGTTTCCTGACACCCAATATCACTTCACTATCACTCTCCTCCGTGCGTCGTGTTCCTCAGTGCTGAGGATCGTGACCTTTAC